TATTAAATATTACTTAATTTATTATAATTTTGATTTCTATTAGTTAATATAATTTTTTATATATTCTTATCTTAAACATTTATTTAATACAATGAATTTTCAATATAACTTATATTTTTTACATATTGCTATTATACTTTTTTTTAAAGTAATATTATTAATATATGAATTAGTATAATTTTTAGTACTATTTTAAAAAATATTAAGAACTTAAATATCTAAAGATGCAAAATTAGTTGTATATTTTTTTTTATTATTAAGTTTTTAGAAAACTTCAAAAGCTTATCCTTATTTAAAAATTTTTATTTTTTTTAATACTATACACCCTAAATTACAGTATTTATATTTTAATTAAATCAATTTAACCCTGCAAGTAATCAATATATATTCTTATTTCTTTATTTTTTTTTATTAATTATTTTCGTTAATTTTTTCTATAATCATTGCATAAGGCCTTTTTTTTTATTCTAAAAAACCATAGTTTTCTTACACTATTTCCTCATAATCACTCTAACTAGAATTTTCATTTTATATTTATAAACTTTAAATAGTTTAAATTTTTATATTCTAATTTTTTTTAAAAGGACTCAAAAACGAAAATGCCTTTAAAAGATTTATATTTTTAATATTTTAATGATTATTAAATATTTCTTTATGTACTTTTTAAGATACAGACAATGCTTTTAATTTTACATCATCAAAAATTATATATTAATTATTCCTTTTTTCCAAAAGTACTATATTAGCTATTAAACCAACTCCATTTTCATAATCTAAATAGTTAATTTTTATATCGATTTATAAAGGGATAACATAGCCTAATTAATTTTATCCAAAAAGTAATTTATTTTTGATATTTGAAGGCTAATTTTTTTTCAAAAAATCCTAAATATAAAAATGATGTTTTTTCTATATGAAGAACGGGATTATTTTTTCAATTCTTTGCTTTATAATATCCTCATTTTTTATTTTGAAAATCCTATTAAATTAATTAGAAACCTTCTATATTATATACTTTTTTTATTCAATAAAAGCCTTAACAAAAACCGCACAAGATTTTTCATTTTTTAACTAAAGAAATTAATTTTCATCTTCTTAATTATTTAAACCTTTATTTTTATTTATTTTAATATCATTATTAGTAAAAGATAAAATTGCCATATATTAATAATAAACTTCTATAATTTCGGTATTAATAAAATTCGAATTCATTAAAAAGCTTAAGTTTTCGAATAAAAAGTCTCTTTTTCTTTACAATTCTTCCAGTTTATTATTTAATTTATTTAAATCAATATATCTTAACATCATCATATTTAAAACTTATGATTTACTTATAATAGCTTCTCTAAGTAAAGACTTAGATTCATTTATTAATTAATCACAATAAAAAATATCTAAGTATTTTTTATCAAAATTATTATATTTTAATTTCTTTTAGAGTATTTTAAATTCATTTTCGATACTATTTAAAATCTATAAATACTTTAAAGATACTTTTTTTTTTATTTCGTAAAGTTTAATCCAAAAAATTTCATAGTTTTTACTAATTTATAATATAAAAACTAAATAAAAGACTAAAATTTCTTCCGTTTTTTAATATTCTCTATGATTTTCTAATAAATAAATCATAATATTTTACAAAATCTTATCCATTTATTCATCTTTTCCACTTAAATATTTCTTCGATAAAAAAAACATATCTTCATTTCTTTTTTATTCCAGAAAATATAAATCCTCATTTTTCCCATTTAAACTCAATTTCTTTTATTAAATAATTAACTATAAAAAATAAACAATTTTTAAATTAAATTAACAGTTTTCCTAATTTAAATTAAGACTATTTTTATTTTCTTTAAAAATTATATTTCTAATAATTAAATCAATGTATTTTCCTTCTATTTTTAATACTTTTTATTCTTCATTTTTCAGAAAATGCTCTTCGAATTATTAAAAGATTCTAATTTGTAATATTTTGAAAATAATTTAATACAATTTAAAACATAAAGGAATCAAACAAATGATAAAAGCACTCAATAAATTTCCTTAAAAATCAACTTAAATAAAGACTTAAAATAAAATACTTAAAAAAAATAAATACAAATTTATAAATATTGACACTTATTCAATCGTTTCATTATAAAAAGGATTAATAAAAATAGCATTTGTTAAGTTTAAAAAATATATTATTATCAATACTGGACATATATATAAATAACTACTTATACTCATTATTATTATTCCAGTTATTTCTAAACTCTAATAAATATAAATAAAATTTGAATATTTTTTAGCTAAAAAATCCTTATTTATTATTAAATAATTATAATTTACATCTTCTGATGTAAAATCTATTTATTTTTATTTAAAAAAATATCAAATATATTAATTTTTACTTAATAATAATATTAATATTGCATTTATTATTGTAATTTTATTTGTTTCTATAAAGCTAATAAATAGAAAAGGAACTAAAAATAATTAATTATAGGCTTAAAAAATAAAGGAATAAATATAATTTATAAGATAATCTCTTTTTTTTATTATTTTTTTTATTTAAAACTATTGTTTATTTGTTTTTTTTATAAATTAAACATTAAATATATGACTAAATTAAAGTTAAAAATGCAAACAAAATACTATAAATATTCAAAAATTTATTACTTATTTTAAATTTTATTTAATCTTTAAATATTTTCTAAGTTTTTATCATATTTAATTAATATATCATATGTATCATTGGTAAATATAAATAATATAAAATATGCTGCCTTTATTATTATTAAAAATAAAGATTCTATTTTATTTCTTTAATGAATCTTTATAAGTTTATATAACTCTTCAGTATAAAAATTTATAAATGCACTTTTTATATTAAGTATAGACATTTTATTATTATAATTTTGTAATTTTTATATTTTATTAGTTATATAATGTGACTATTTTTTTTATATAAATTTAAAAAAAATTATTTATTAAAAATATTTAATATATTCGAAATTTGTTATTTTAATTTTTTTGAGATTTCTTTGACTATAATATTATTTTTATTTAATGATCTTTTAAAAATTTATATATTAAATATATATATTTAATATATAAATAATATTACATTTTTTGAGTCTTTTTAATATAATAATTTAAAATACATTTTATGTTTTAATTTTTATAAATTACAATTTAATTAATTATTTATTTTTGTATTTTACATATTTTCAATTACAAAATTCATATATTTCAATAGATATAAGTTAAAATTTATATTTAAAAATATTTTCAATAATCTAAAAATAACTATAGTCCATATTTTTTTTAATAAAATAAAAAAAATTGTAATTTCAAATATAAAAAACTATTTTCTGTAAAAAAAAAAAAAAAATTAATTTAATTTTTATTAATATAATATAAGTACATATAACAGACATATATATAAAAAAATGAATTATAAAATAAAACTAAATAAATTATTAAAATGATCTAAAAAAAATACTAAAAGCAAGAAAATAAATTATATATTAACTTAAAATTCATCATTAGAAAATAAAAGAAATACAAAAAAAAAATCTAAAATTAACTATTATCAAATAACATTATGTAAAATATCAAAAATTATAATATTTTTAAAGATTCAATATATATTTATTACTTTGTAATATTTTTTTTCAAAAAAAAAACATAATCAAAAAAAAATTGATAATGACTTTTATATTTTATATTAAATTTTTAAAAAAAATACAGAAAAAAATAAATAAAAACTATTCTAAAAAATAATATTTAAAAGTGAAAATAAAATATTTAAATAGTTTTATAAATGAGAAAGCAATTTTAACTAATAATTTAAAATTAAATACATATTAATAACAATTATAATAACTTTAAAAAGTAAATTAAATATAAAAAATTAAAAATAAATATTTAAACGATGAAATTAAAAATTATAATAATTTAGAATTATGGTATTTATTGTTTTATTTTTATTTTTTTAAAAAAATATAATTTAAATAAATTCATTTAAAAATTAGGAATAGAATTATATTAAAAAAAATAAAAATGAGTTTTTATATAATAAAATATAATTATGATAAACTCATACAATATTAAATAAACAAAATTAAATTATAATAAAAAATTAAATAAATATATAATACTTATTAAATAATTAATTATTAATAAAATCAATAATAAAACACTTATAAACATTTATATGATTATAATATTATAAAAGAATTTAAAAATTAAATTAAAAAACTAAATTCCCAGAAAAGAATTTAAACATGATCTTTATTTTTGAAATAATTTATTTTAAATATCTCAAAAGAAATAAATTATAAATAAAGATAAAATATTCATAAAAATATAAGCGAATATTTATTTTTTTCTTATAAAGAATTAATTTAAAATTTCTAAATATTATAAGCAATTTAATATTTATTATAAAAAAAAAATACATATATATAATTTGTAAAATAAATAAATACAAATAAAATATTGAATGAGAATTTTTAGGCTACTTTCTTATTTTATAATTTTTTTTTTATAAATTATTAATTTTTTTATTTTTAAATCGTTAAATTGTTTTTCTAGAAGTAAAATAATTAATTTAATTATAAAAAAAAAAAAAAAAAAAAAAAATTATCAAAAAATTATAATTTTTTTTTATTTTATTTTTCATAATTTTTTTTTTTATTTTTTTTTTTGTTCAAATAAACTATATAGTATTTTATTAAATAAAAAAGTAAGAAAAAAAAAATATTAATTCTTCTTATATTTATCTAATATATTTTATATTTTATGTATTTTATTATATTTTTATTAATTAATAAATTAGAACAAAAAAAATATTAAAAGCTAAATTAAAAAATAATTAATGGTTCATCGAAAAAAAAAAAAAAAAAAAAAAAGCTTGAATATATAATTTCATATATATAATTTAACAAACATTTATAAAATTATAAAAAATAAAATAAAAAATAAATATTAATAAAAAAAAGAGTAATAATAAAATGGTAAAAAATAAAACAAAAGCAATATAAATAATATTTTCTAATAAACTAAAAGAATCCAAGAATAAATATAATAATATCACGTTAATTAAACCAATTAAAATAAAAAAATCCAGATGGTACAAATAAAAATAATTAAAATTTTATAAAAAATACAGGAATAAATGTAATTATAAATGATATTGATATATATGATATTTAAGCAGACATAATAGGCCCTGGTAAATAAAAAACAAATTTATTAAATAGGAATATATCTAATTTATTTAATATAAAGTATAAACACCATATGAAGGAGGCGTTTTTAGATGTAAATTAATCCTACCATAGGACTTTCCTAAAGTACCTCCAAAAGGATTTTTCCATACTAAAATTGCACACCCTAATGTATCAGAAAAAGGAGAAATATGTGTAAATACATTAAAAAAAGATTGGAACCCTACAAACTGGTCTTTCTAAAATATATTCGAAGTATTAATATTACATAATTTATTGTTATATATATAATATAAAATACTATATATATTATTTAACTAAAAAAAAAGGTTATAAAATGTTTATTAATAGTTCCTTTTCCTGAAAGTGCGTTAAATGAAGAAGTAGGTAAACTTTTTATGGAAAATTACGAGGAATATTTTAAATACGCAAAATTAATGACTGAATTACACGCAAAACCAAGATAAAGCAATAAAATTTAATTTGAAAAAGAAGTAAATTATATAAAAATAAATTAATATATAATTAAAAATAATTATACACATATATATGTATATATAACATATTTTTTAAATAAAGACTTGTGATGATGAAGATATTACATCAAAAAATTATTCACAAAAGTAAATAAAAGGAGATACAAAAAATTATTTTTAAAAAAATCAAAACCAGGAAAATCTTTAATCATAAAATAATAATAGCTTTTCTTAATCTTTTACAGAAGAACCTCTAGGATCATTAAGCAAAAATTCTATTTAATACTAATAATAATAATAGTAATAATAATAATAATAATAAGCTTTTTTATTATAGAATAATAATAGTGGATAATATAAATAGGCTATTTAATAATAAAATAAACATTAGTTTTAATTAAGCTTTACGTTCAATAATGAAATTTCATAATAATATTAAAAATAGACTCACCCCATTATATATTCTAGTGTAAACAAATAAGATTCAGAAAAGAAAAAATGGCTTAAAAGAATTTGATTTTTTCAAACAAAAGCAAATTTTAAAAATTTATGTAATATATATTTATTTATATAAAGATATATATTAAAATTACTTTTTTATTTAAAAATAACCTAATATAATATAAATTAATTATATATAATTTTTAATTAAAGAATTTTTATTTTGTATTTGTATATTCATAGATATATTTTTAATATTTAAATAACTTTTTTTTTTTAATTTTTCTTTTTGTAAATTAAAGCATGATATATAGGAACAATATAAAAAATTAATATTTTAAAAATAATATAGATAAAATGCTATATTATCTACTATAAATAAAAATTAAAATAGATAATTTTATAAATTTTTATCGCTTTTTAAATAAATTACATAATTATATAAAAAATTAGAAATATATATATATATTTATAAAAATATATATATTTATATATTTTTAGATTTATATCTATTTATTTAATATTTTATATTGTTTATTAGTTTTAAAATCTTATTAATTAAATTTTTAAAAGCATCATCATTTATTAATGAACTTCAATCAAATCATTTTATTGAATTTTTTATGATTAATTAACTATTTTAAATAATATATTGAAATCTAATTCAAAACAAATATTATTTTGTTAACTAAATTAATTAAAATATAAATAGTTTTTTTTTACTTAAACCTTTAGTATATAATTAATAAATTAACTTTTTAAAACTTAAAATAAAATAAATAATATTAAATAAACACATAAAAGAATTAATTTTTATTTAAAATACTTATTAAAGTATTTATTACTATAAAATTTTGTTTAAAATAAATAAATATAAATCTAATAACATTAATTTAATTTTAAATAAATAGTTTAAATATTAAAAAATATTAAATTGAAAAGTAAATTATCAGTAACTAAAATTTAATTAATTAAATATTTTGTAAACTTCATGTTCGAAATTTAAATACAAAATAATTAAACTTTAACTAATAAAATTGAAAAATTCACCAATAAGTATTCCCATCCAAATTCCTTAAATTTTCCATTAAAAATAAAAAACTAAAATCAAACTAGTAGATATACCAACACCTCCAATACAAAAAAAGTAAGAAAAAAGTAATAAAGTCTATTTTTTTAAAGATCTTAAGATTCCTTACAAAATTTAATTTAATCCATAAAGAATAACAATACATATACCAATATAATATAAAGAATTTAACTCTTCTTTAACATTATAATCATTAATAATATTAATTATTATAAAATCTTTTAATAAAATAAAAGGCAAAATAATAATTATAATATAAATAAAGTATAGAATAAAGCTATAAAAAATATAATATTTCCCGCTCATATAATCTCCTTTTCCTATTTCATTTCCTAAAAAACTACACGTAACCATTCCAAATCCAACAGTAAATGATGTTAGGATAAAATTTATATTGTTCATTAAAACATGAGCATTGAATTAATTTACTTCTTAATATCCTGCAAATATAGTTTAAAACTATTAAATTGCGCACTCTAAAATAATAATAGAGGCAATTGGAATTGAAAATTTGAGAAAATCTATAATTAAATGAAAAATTTTAAAAGTGAAATTTCTAAAACAAACATATAATTTTTTTTCAAAATAAATAAAAATTATAAAGCTTAAATTCGTAAAAAAAGTAGTCAAAGAAAAACATATTGCTGCCCCAATTAAACTAAGCTAAAATAATTAAATAAAACAGAAGCAACTCAAAAAATGCAAAGGAATTACAATTAAAAAACTAAAAAATTAAACCATAAATTCGCTCTAAGCATTTATAAAAGACCTAAAAGAATTTAAAAAAATAATCAAAAAAATACCAGGAGAAGCCCATATGCAATATTAAGAAGCTAAAATACTTAATTATTAGTCAAAACCTAAAAAAAGATATAGTTTCTCAGAAAAAAATAAGCATATTGATATTGGTAAAAATACAATCAACATAATAAATTGGGCAGTAACTAATAAGTTAACTACTTTTTTATAATCTTGAGCTCCATAAAAATGAGCTGCTAATGTTTCTAAACTAATACTTATTCCATAAATAGGACTTTCTCCTAAAAATCTATATAAAACTATTCCAAGACCAAATGCATTTACATTTTCTAAAGATGAATATTTACTTAAAAAAATGACTGTTATTAATTATGGTAAAGTTTCAAAGAATATACTTGTTGAAGCGATTATATATTATTTAGAAATTTTTAAAAATTATTCTTATTTTTTTAAGTTATGTGTATTATCTTCCTTTTTTTTATTATTATTATTATATTTATTTTAATTTTATTTACAATAAGCTTATAATGGTGGAATTCTTTTTCAAATATTAATGGACAAATATCGGTAATATTATATTATAATAATTTGTTATTCATTTTTGCTTTTTATATTTAATTTTATTTTATTTTTACAGTTTTTTAATAAAAAATGCATATTGCTTATTATTTTTAAAAACTGAATATTGATTATTAAATTTTTTTGTTTAAAATAAAATTTATTTCAGGGTTTATTTTATTTTAGATATTTTTTTTTATATATAATTTAATTATAAATTATAGTTTAGAATATTTTTTTTTTATTATTATAAAATTAATTAATTTTATAAATATATTTCTTTTTATATATATATATAAATTGGATAACTTAAAAATATATTTAAGTATAATAAAAAATTAATTCTAATATTCAAATAAAAATCTTAAATAAATTTTAAATAGAAATAATATAATAATAATGTATTCATATGCTATTTTATTTGATTAATAAAATAATCAATAATAAATATTATTATTGATTAGTATATAATAGCTATAATTAATCTATATTTATTTATTTAAACTTATATTTATTTTCTTCTTCTTATTTTAAAAATAATCTAAATAATTATATATCATGTAGTTTCTAATAAATATCTTTCTACACAACCTTTATAAATAATAATTAAATATCAATAATAAATAAATAAATAATTATATATTTTTTTATTTATATATAATTATTTATATATTTATATATATATATAATTAGCTTATTTAAATATTTTATTTAAATATTCTTATAAATAATAAAATATAAAATATATTATAAATATAATAATTATAAATTATTAAATGTGTCTAATTTTATTTAAGATTTAATTATTTTATTTTTTAAAACGTTATTTAGAAGATTTGTTTTCTAAAAAACTATTTTATAACTAATTACATTTTAAAAAAAAAAAAAAAAAAATTAATAAATTATATATTTACTTTTTAATTATAATTTTTTTATTATTTTTGATATATAATAAAATATCTTTTATTTAATTATTTTTATATTAACATTTTAACTTCTTAAATAATTAAAAAAAAAGTTAAAATAAATTTATCTTTTAAATATATATATTTTTTTATTAATTAATATTTATTTTTTTATATTATTTTTATATATATTTATATAATATTTTTTATTTTATTTTTATATGAAAAACATTTTTTTTTATAAAAAAAATATAATTTTTCAATATTATTTTATATTCATATTATTTTTTAAAAAAAAAAATATATAAAATACTATTAGATTAATTTTTATAAAAAAATTAATTTGTTCTCATTATATTTATATATGATTATATTTTTATATTTTTGAAAGTTTTCATATAAATAAGCAAACAAAATATTATTTTAAATAAATATTCTAATACTCATTATAATAATTATATAAATAATTATTAACATTTTAATTAATTGTTCCTAAATAATTTAATAGAATTTAAAAATATATTTTTATCATTCTTCTGTATTTTCATAATCGAGTTACTCTTATTTAACCTTATCATATTTCTAACTTTTCTTTGAGTTAAAAATCTTTACAACAACTGGCAACACCCACGCTTCAAAGATAATATTTATAAAGAAATTAATAAATATAATACCCAACAGAATAAACCTAAACCTCATCGGCATTTCCGAAACAACTTCTCCCTCATTATTTATTGTCTTTATAAAAATACCAAAAATTTCCGAAAATATATCAAATCTTTAGAAAATTTAAAAAAAGAGAATCCTGAAATAAATATTAAAAACAATAAAAAGGGTAAATTAGTATAAAATTTCTTCTTATGTTCCGATCCTACCGAATAAGCTATAACCATAAAAATATACTAAAAATTTGAAATCCAATATAATACAGTAGAATCATAACATTCACCCAAACTCTCATAATCTATTTCTCCATTAGAGTTTTTATGTATTTCCACAGATTTCATATACCATGATTATTTTATTAAAATATAAATACTTAATAGTTATATGCCTAATTATATAGCACTTTATCCGACTACAGAAAATATTACATCTAAAGAAATAAGTTCACAAGTCGGTGTATTTTTCTTGAGTTTATCCGCTGGTTTACTCAACCCTAAAAGAAAAGATAAAGGCAATATAATGAATAAATCCCACATTAAAAACTACATATCAGACGGAAAGGACTACTAAAAGTATAAAATGGTAGTCGTAAAGCATTAAATAGTGCTATATAACGCCATATACTTAAAACACTCAAATGAAGTTTATAAAGATGCCCTTCCTTCTCTCAAAAGTCTATGCACACATGCAATATCTTATATTTTCGAAGTAAAAGGAGCAGCTATACTAGTATCTGTATTCGAAAGAGAAATCCCCATGTCAGCTTCTTTTAAAGCTCCACAATCATTAGCCCCATCGCCGCACATTCCTACAAAAGTATACTCACTTTAATCTATCTAGAGGAGATTAATTAAACTCTACTTTTAATCAGGAGTCATCCTGGCGTAAACTTTACATTATTTAAGTATGAATTTCCTTATTTTGCTATTTTTTTCCATATACTGTTAAAAGAAAGTCCCTGAAACTGAAAGTTCATGATTTTAAAGCTTAGCAAAGTCTTTTATTAAATTGAAACTTTTCCCATTTAAAACACACTCAGAATTCACGAAATCAAGAATATTACTAATCCCATCAAAATTCATTATACCGCATTATTTGGCGACATAAGTGGCAGTTAAAGGATTATCTCCAGTGACCATAATAACCCTTATATATTAGGAAGTTAATAATTAAATATTATGTTTAGTTATGTCTTTTAATTCATTTTCGAAGATCAAAAAACCGCCAAAAATGTGTTTTTTTTCATAATATTCACGAGGATTTTCCTCTCAGTAGTTATTTTCGAGTTCCTTATAGGAAAACGCGATTACTCTATAGCCTGAAAGTGTGTATAAATCTAATATTTCATTAAATTTTTGGGGTATATAGTTGTTTAGGCATTAAAGGAAGATTTTTTCTGGAGAACCTTTCGTAAAGGCGTATTTTTTGCCTTAAAAATCAACTAATACACTAGATTTTTATAATTCTGCGAGAAATTAAAAACGTTTAAAAATTTTAATTTTTAATCCATCTCCTCCATTTTCTACTAAAAGTTGCCCATGTTACCCACTTTCTTATATCTAGAAGCCTGAGAACTTAAACATTTCAATATCCAAAGGGTCCCCAATCAATTCGTTGTTAAATTTCTCAATAGTATGGCAAGAAGCCGCTATTATTCGTTAAATTTGAGTTCTTAACTCAAATAAATTTAAGGCATCGACCTCTTTAAATTCCATCGCGTAATTTTCGAAAAAGACCATTCTTTTAAAAGAAAGTCCATCTTCGGTTAAAGTTCCAGTTTTGTCAAAACACACAGTCTTGACCTTCCCACAAGCATTAATTTTAGGAGGATTTATGCAATAAATATCCCATTTCTTTAACCTATATATCGAAAAAGACACTCCAAAGGCCAAACAAGTAGGCAAAGCGGGTGGAACTGAAATTGTGATTAAATCCAAAATTCTACCGACTATATCTTCCGATTTAATAGCATTTTAAGCCAATAGATCTAAGAATTTGGGAATAGTGATTAAAAAAGCTATCAATGTATTAATCCCTAGTAATATAATAAACTTCATGGACTACTTTTGAAATGAAAAGTAGCCTGGTTTTAAAGGAAACATTATAGATCGTAGAAGATTACCTTTTAAAGTATCAAAAGAAGTCCTTATAACCATACATTTTAGTTTATCTAATTATAAAATACGGCTTCCGGAGTATATTATAGTCTATTTATTCTCCCAAAAAGCCTCGTTTCGGTTCTCCATTGATGTTTTTATCACTGGAATACTCTCGCCTGTCAACATGGCCTCACTGACAATTGCAGAACCGGAAATTACAGTAAAATCGCAAGGAATTATACTATTTTGGTTTAAAAAACAAATATCACCAAAAGCTAGTTTATCGGAAGTAATTAATTCTTTTTTGTTATTTCGGAGAACTTATATTTGTATTTTTTAGTTTTCACTTAGTTTAATAATTTTTCGAATATTTTGTTTAGTCTAATAAAGCTCAGAAACTAAAGAAAAAGTCGCAGATATTAAAATAACACTAGAGTAAATATAATATGACTAATGATACCATAAAGTCACTGAAAAAATCTAAAATAAATAAAAAGGAGATAAAATTTAGTCTATAAAAATCTAAAAATATCCCGGTTCAGGTATTTTGCTTTCATTAAGCCCGTTTCTTTAATGTAAAATATCAACCTAAGACTACTATAGGCCATCAGAGAACTATCTTATTAGTTATTCGTATGTAAAATTGTTTACTTGGTCACATAAAGGGACAAAAATACGATTTTGGTTCATAAATCGAAAATATCTGAATGTAAAAATTCTTATTTGTTAATTTTCTATTTGTACATTTTCCAGTTTTTCTATATGAATTGTTTTCGAAGGACCAGTAATAGCTATATGGGTAGATTCTTCTATATCCGAACATTTTCGGAATAAAAACGACTATCTCCATTTCAGATTCCATTTTAATAATAAGAAAAAAATACCACAAGATAATATATATAAAACACATTCGTAAAAAAAATGACTTTTCTTTAAACATTAGAGGTTCTCGAATATACCTTCTGGTTGAGTATTATTGTATAAAATAAAATTCTTTTTTATATCAGGCTTTTTATTTTAAGGAATATTAATATGTTCAATTGTGTTTAGTTATAATTAAATTTCGTTTAGGTCTTTTTATTTTTTGTTAGTTTCGGAAAATTAAGAACTCATAAATTAACTTTTTTAATCTATTTATTTTTAAATATATATATATATGTATATGTATATAAATATTTATATAATGTATTGTTATTACATTTATTTTTTATATATTTTTTTTTATATTTATATTATGTTTTATTATTATTTTTATTTTTATATTATATTTTAATTATTAAAAATGGTTTATTTATATAATTTTTTTATAATTAAATATCATTTTAATATATTGAGTATTTACTCATTATCATATTAATTTTATAAAAGATTTTTAAAATATGTATAGATTTTAAAAAATGAATATTTTATAATATATTTATGAATTTAATTTAATTTCATCAAAAAATTTAATGGAATTCAAAAATTAATTAAATGTTTTTATATATAAAATAATTATATTATTATATTTATTTATGTGAAATTAATTAAATATTTTTGTATATAAATTTAATTTTATATATATTAAATATATTTTATAATCCATATTAGTGTACTATTATACAATTTTTTACTAAAACTAATTCGTAACGATATATATATTCGGTAATAGGTAACAAACTGTACGCAAAGAAATTAAAAAAAACCAAAAATTAATACTACTAAGTCTATTTTAATTTCTTGAAGGTGCATTCTGCTTTATTATCAAATGCTTATCGACATGATATTCAGTTCTTTCTAGATCCTTACTTTAAATTAACAGAATTTACAATGTCATAGAGAATGACATATTATTTCAAAAATAAGCCTAAAATCACCACTATTTCCTTTTCCTTTATTTTTTTTCTATTATATATATTAAAAAAATAATTATTTAAAAATAAACTATTTTGATTACATTCTTTAAATTAATATTTTAATAAAAGCTTATTGTTTTAATAAAAAATAAAAAAAATTATCATTTTTATAATATTTTTTTATATTTATTAAAAAATAAAAATTTTAATTTTTTTAATATAAAAAAATATAAAAAGAAATGATCTAATAAAAAATAACATAAAATCATAAATAATAAAATAAATCTTCATTTACTTATTTTTAAAAAGGTAAAAATAAATAAATATATATATAATTTTTTATTTAAAATAAATAAAAGATTCAAAATCTCATAAATTTTAATAATAAAAGTACTTAATATTATTATAATTTACAAAAAATTACCCAAAAATAATCTAAAACAAACCCGAAACAATTATCCAAAAATCTTTAAGGCAAAAAATACTCACAAATCGTGTCTAAAAAAGTGAATATACAAATTTAAATTTTAATTTATCTCAAAAATCTCCAAATGAGGCATTTTTTTAAACAATGCGAAAACATATATAAATATAAAAACAACAAAATAAATTCTATTCAAAAGCTGAAAAGAATATATAAGAATAATAAAAAAATATTCAAAAAGAAAAAAATTATTAGCATTTTAAGTTAAGTAATAATTTTAATAAAAATAAAGGAATTTAAAAAGACCATAATCTTCAATAATAAAGCATTAATATTATTCTTCTAATTAAAATATTCCAATATAAAATTATAATAATTATAAATTTTAATCGTATAAAAAAAATACTTAAAGCTATTCTATTTCTACTCTATATTAATCAAACGAAAGTTCTTTTGAAAAATAAACTTAGAAATTCGAAAAAATTAAAGAAATTTAAAATCTATTCATTAATTAAATAAAACTATTTTAATAAAAAAATTAGTCTTAAAAAATACTTCATAACCAATATTAGTCTTAAAGAATTAAATAAAAAAATAAAAAAGCAATTAATAATATACAGGTTATAGATACTAAAAATGAATTTTAATAATATGGACCATGGGAAAGTGTAGAAGAGGAATAAAGTTCTAAAAATTAAAGTTATAATTCATTTATAAAGTAACTTTGATATTATTTAATTTATGTTATTTTATATATTTTTTGTAAAAAAAATAAAAAAAATATTATTTATTTAAAATAAATATTTAATATTTATTTTATTTAATATTTATTTAATTTAGTATAATTATTATAATTTTTTTTTTATATATATATTATTTATTTTTTACTTTATTTAACTTTACTTTAATGTTATTTTATTTTATTACTTTACATTAATTTACTTTTGTTTATTTTAGTTTACATTACTATATAATATATATTTATGCATTTTATATAATTTTACAAAATGATTTAATTTTTATTTTATATTAGTTTGAATATAAATATTATATATATATATATATATATATATATATATATATATATATTAAAAAATAATAATTTATTCATTAAAATATAATTATCCAAATAACTTTTAAAAAATATATATATTATAAAGATATATTTATAAAAATAAAGTACATAAATACATTTTAAAAAAAGATTTTATTAAAATATATATAAAAGAAACAGAAAAAATAATAAATATAGGAAAAATAAAATAAATATGAGCATTCATTAAAAAATTCTTTAAGCCCATTAAAAAAAAAATTAATAGCAAAATAACCAACAAGAAGCAGACGCACCAAATAACAATAATTTATAAAATATTGTTGAATCTTAAAATTCCCAAAACCAATAACAATAATAATAATATAATTAAATTCCAAGCCAGCCAGTCTTTTAAGCCCAATAATAAATGTATTATTAATAAATTTAAGATGTATCAAAAACTAGTCTTTCAAGTCAATATGAATAATAAAGAATATAAGAATTAAGTCAATTAGGAGAAAATTTTAATTCTTCGAAATTATATATTCGACCCACCACAGATCGTTTTCCTAAAACGTAAAAGATTTTAAGAGATTCCAATTTCAAATTTTCTGCTATAATATCTCCTTTCGGATCATAAGTATTATTTTATTTTAATAATAAAAACATATTATAACTCAATAACAACAAATTATATAAAAAAAGGAAAAAGAATTCCCTGTAGCATATATGAAAAATAAATAAATAGTAAGATGTGAATAATGTAGAGTATATATGAATCCTTTTTGTGAATTTATATAGGAAGGATATAAAGTAAATAATTATAATCATAAATATTTAAATAATTTTTAAACAAAAACTAAAGTATAAATGTAGCTTATGTGGAAGTATAGAATCTATTCCTAATCATTATTATTCGGCCTTAGATTAAAATGGAAAAAGACAAGATTTGTATTTAAAACCTGAATTAAGTTAAGGATCGTTTGATATAATAGCAGGAGCAGAGTATAAATAATATATAATTAAAATAAAAAAATAAGAAAAAAAAACTAAAATAAAAAAATAAAAAAAGTTATGCTTCAAGAGCTCCTATGCCTCCAACATATTTTTTTTAATAGATGTGTCTAAGGCTTCCATAGAAAGTGGAATGCTATAAATAATAACTAACACTATAAAATAAATTATTTAAAACGATACTTTATAAGGAGAAGATAGAAAACAAGTAATATAATTTAATATATATATATATATATATATATATATATATATATATTATTATTAT